CTTCTTTGTGTCCAAGTATGTGGTCTATCTTAGAGAATGTTCCATGTGCCCTTGAACAGAATGTATACTCTGTTTTTTTTTGATGTAATGTATGTGTGCCTTGAAAGAAACCTTTATCTCCTATAGTTGGTAGACTGAGACTGTTGAAAATAAAACACAGAATCTCATCCTGTGACCAGCTGGATTATAATGCACGTTGAACTCCAAACCTCACTGTTAAATAAAGGCAATGATTGTGATCCTGTAAGTTGGGATGGGGAACGCATGGGCCCTTGATAAATCTGGGGCCATCAAGCCCCTAAATTCTGAGTCTTCTGTGTCTGTGGAAGAGTCGCCTTACCCCCAGCAGAATTGACCTTCCTACCTCAAGTAGAAGTGGCCTCCCCACCCCTAATGGTAACAGCCTCTCCATCTACTGTGGTATTGGCCTTTGCATTTCTGTCTGAGGAAATTAACCCTGCACTGCCTGAGAAACTGTAACAGCCTCTCCTGAGCAAGACAATGCTGCTTCTCCTCAGGACCCACCTCTACCACTCCTCTTCTAGATTCGAGTCCCTGCAGGCCCCTTAAAGAGAGCTACAAGTGTTGCTCATGCAGGTGTGCTATGCTCTAAAGAACAGCTTGCATTTTCTAGTTTATGCAGACATAAGTGTGGGGACCATGTGTGGGAATGGATATTAAGGCTGTGGGATAAATGTGGAAGGACCATAAAGTTGGATCAGGCTGAACTAACTGATGTGGGCTCACTAAGCAGAGATCCTGCACTTAATGTTGTGGCTCAGGTAGTTAGAAAGGGCTCTAACAGTTAATCTGGTTGGTTGGCTAAAACATGGACATGAAAAAGGTGGCCCATGGTGGGAAAAAGAGAAATGCTGGCCTTTCTTTAATTTAATGTATATGAAGGGATTCAAAGCTTAGGGACACTGGCGTGTTGGAGTGGGTTTTCTATTTGAGACCTGCTCTCCCACACTGGGAGGGTCTAGAAGACAGACCTTGACTAATACTTTGAAAAATAAACTTGGGGAGGGGGCCCTAGTGCGTTTGAGGAGCTCAATGATTGTTCTCTGTAGACAAGACCCTACAGTGGAAACTGCAATCACTGAATTGGGAAACCTAAATGCAAAGGAAATAATTGGATCCTAGGGTGTCAGGGGCCAAGTGGTAGCACTCAGTTGCCAAAGTCGAGGTGGGCTGGGTTACCATGATGGGCAACAGAGGCAAAGCAACAATCAGAATAGTCTGACTAGCACAGACATTTGGGCAATGGCTAGCTGATCACAGTGTTTATACACATGAAATACATAGGAAGCCTGGAAAATTCTTACTTGATCTGTGTAAGCAGAAAAGTTCTAGGCCAAATGAACAAAAGTCTGACTTGAATGATAAAAATGGTCACAGCACCTTACTGAAGTCCCAGAATTCCTCGAATGAAGGGGAGGCTGGTTCCCCTTGAGGAAGAACTCTGAGACCCTAATCAAAATTTATCCTGTTAATCTTTCTTCTAGCCTTCCCCAAAGTGACCTACAACCTTTACAAAGGTGATTGTGCATTGGGAAAGAGAACAATCAGAGTTTGGGAATTACTGCATGGGCTTCAAACTGATCCTAATTTGAAAAGACCCAAAACATCACTGTGGTCCACCAGTCAGAGCAGGAGCTTATGGACCTCAGGAGATCAATGGAGTTTTAGCTCAGATCCATCTCACAAATGGGCCTGGTGGATCTCCTAACCCATCCTGTGATTATTTTCCAAGCTCTGAGTGCACAATTGGGATGGGTTAAAAACCAACAGAATCCCCAAATTGATTCCATAACCTGTGAAATGAAGACGATTGTTGTGGGAAGAGGAAGCCATTAGAACTGCCTCTACCTGGGGAAACAGTAAACCAAAAGCAATACCAAATTCCTGGAGGATTACCAAATTCCTGCAGAGATTAATGCCACCAAGAAAGACTTGAAAGGTGCAGGGGTGGTGATTCCCACCACATCCCCATTCAAGCTCCTTATCTGGTCTGTGCAGAAGACAGACGGATCTTGGAGAATAACGGTGGATTATTGGGTGACTCCAATTGCAGCTGCTGTACCAGATGTGGTTTCATTGCTTGAGCAGTTGAACACATCCCCTGGTACCTTGTATGCAGTTACTGATCTGGAAAACGCTGTTGATCGATACCTGTCAGTAAGGACCACCAGAAGCAGTTTGCTTTCCGCAGGCAAGGCCATCAATACAACTTCATTATCTTTTCTCAGGGGTTTATTATTTCTCCAGCCCTGGGTCATAATTCAGTTCACAGGGATCGTGGGTGTCTTTCCCTTCCACGAGACACCCCACTGGTCCCTTAGGGCAGAGCTGGGACTAGAACCTCAGTCTGTGATTCCCAGTCCATTGAGTCCTCTGTCAGACCAGACGGCTGTCTTCTGAGAAAGCATTCAAATGCTATTCCCCCAATTTCATTTTGAAACCATGGGCTAAGTCATGAAGAAGGCAGGCCACGGATCTCTACAGAAGAATGTGGGGGTCCATTGAAACATAGGGTGATTCTTTCTAGCTGTGAATAAATCCCCAATGGTTGTGATGTTAGATTAGCAAAGGTTTACTTTTAAATATTTGATAATGTTGAACTTGCAGGGGGATCTCTGGCTTCCTAAAACGGTGGGAGTATCCATTCAGACAGGCCTGCTTTGGACACAATTCTCCAGCGTGGAGGAGGAGTCTGGTTCAGGCTTTCTGTTCATTTTATCATCAGTTATAGCTGAATCCGTTTTCTCTTCTGGTTCGTACGCCTTGTTCCTTTTGGCAAATGCCTGGCTGATTTCTGCATGGGTTCTGTTTTTGGTCTCAGTCAGGACAAAATATAAACCAGCAGCACCTATGAAGCAGATTGCAGCAAAGACCACGGACAGTAGGTGTGCAGACTCCTCTGTGGACAGGCAGAGACAAAAAACATGAGGAAGGCAGTTGCCAAACTGGCTGTGAATACCTCTCTGAGCAGATTTTTAAAAGTAGTTTCCTGTTCATATACCAATACTCCTGGATAAAACACAGCATGAGTGAGGCTGGCTCTACAGGCAAATGTGTTTTATAAGAGTCTACAGGAGATGTTCTCACATGAGGCACGAATAAATCAGCTTCAAACCCCGGGAGAGATGAAGAAACGGCAGGCAGTCTTTATTTATTTTGAAAACTAGGCATGTAGAAATTCACCATCACAAAAGCAAAACGTGATACTTGCTGAATGTTGTCTTAAGTTCATATTTACCATTAACCACATTCTCCTTCCCCTACTCCCCAAGAGAAGCATGAGAAAAGTGTGTTGTCAAAAGGGAAGTGTAATTCCCAAGTTAGTAAGAAAAGTACGGAGATGAGGTCAAGCTAACACCATCTTTTCTAATACACAAAATGTGTAACTCACTGATGCTCTGATACAGCTTCCTACGAATAAGAGAGACTAGAAAAAGGAGAACTATTGAATGCAATCACTCTATTTTGTGTGTCTTGATTATAGCACCCCTTGTGATTGGACTAGAATGACCCTGGTGACAGCACTTGACCTTGAGCTTCTCAGTGACTTGGTCATCTCCGCAGCTCCTGTGCCCGCACAGTGCCTGGCTCACAGTAATTGCCCAATAAATGTTTGTTAGATGAGAGGCTTTATATGTTCCGGGGGTGGGGGGAGGGTGTAGCTCAGTGGTAGAGCACGTGCTTAGCATGCAGGAGGTCCTGGGTTCGATCCCCAGTCCCTCCTCTAAAAATAAATAAACCTAATTACCTCCCCCCACACACAAAAATTAAATAATACAATAATAAATAAATCAAATATTTAAAAAAGGCTTTATAGGTTCCAGTTGTCAGAGCCATGACTTTTTCATTCAACAAATGTCTACAGATTGACAGATAAGGTGACATTGTCTACGAATGATACTTCACAAGAAGCAATATCTTGATTTTAGTCAATTGCAGGCTGTTCTTTGACTTGACAAACATTTATCTTCGGAGCATAGCCAGTGCTTAAAAACTGGATCTCTAGCTCACATCCCAGATCCACCGTTTACTGAATCCGAGGCTATCTGTGCCTCAGTTTTCACAGCTGTAAAATGAGGGTAGTAATGGTGCTCACTGGCTGTTGTAAGGATCAAACGAGCTATTCCCTGTGAAGGTCAGAGGGCAGCTGTGGAGGTAGCAAACGTTCCACACCAGGGAGGCTTGTCTCTGAGGGTGTGCGCCTTCCACTTGCCCACGCAGATTCCACGAGCAGAACAGAGAAGAGAGAGCTGTGCTCACAGCTTAGAAAGCAAGGACAGGGGAGAAGACAGGAGAGACCTGGCTAAAGGGTCAAGGGAAAAAGAAGCCTCAGGGCCTGCCAAGCCCAGAGGTTCCGACAGAAGGTAAGGGCCAGTGCTGGAGAAGGGCTGCCTGGGCTCGCCCCGTCCTGCCCGCCATGTGGGAGCCTGCATGAGCAGTGCGACCTCCCTGTGCTTTGGTTTCCTCAACTGTAAGGAGGGACCAATAGGGTCCCCCTCACCACCCCCCTGAGCAGTGCATAGAGCATCACATGGATGGAAGGACCAGAAACGCTGGGAGCTGGAGTTCACCCTGTCCTGGCAGCAGAAGGACCTTCGTCGGCATCTGCCCCAAATAATTCCATGCCAGCCATCATGTGGCAACCTGGCACTCCTGCAAGTATGTGATTGCATTTAATCTGGGCAGAGAAATGCAATTATTAAGCCCCTCCTGGGTGCCAGCAACATCACAGACATTTTCTAGTCTGATGCCTATAGCCCACACTGTGATGCAGCCATTTGTCCTTCCCTTTGACAAAAGATGAAATTGAGGATTCGAGAGGTTTTGTAACACGTCCAAGGCCACGTAGGGCCTGACTAGCAGCTCACACTTTCTCCATTATTTATCATGACTCTCACTGTCGTGTGTGTGTGTATGTGTGTGTGTGTGTGTGTGTGTGTGTGTGTATGTCTGTGCAGGGGGATTAAAATGCTACTGGGATCCTACAGTGATTCACCAACTCACTTGTGAAGTCAATCTTCTTAACCTTCTCTTACAGGTGAGAAAATGGAGATCAGAGAGGGCGAGTGACTAAACAAGATGGTACTGTGTAGCACAGGGAAATATATACAGGATCTTGTGGTGGCTCACAGCGAAAGAGAATGTGACAATGAATGTATGTACGTTCATGTATAACTGAAAAATTGTGCTCTACGCTGGAATTTGACACAAAACTGTAGAATGAGTATAACTCAATAAAAAAATGTTTAAAAAAAAAAGAGAGGGCGAGTGACTTGCCTGCAGTTACCCAGCTGGTAAGGGCTGCATCTGGGTTTGATCCCGGCTGGCCTGATCTGGAGGCCACTGTCTCGCTTCTGTACCTGCCCCTTTTGGGCAAATTCATTCAATGCTGTTGGTCTGGCAAAGCACCTGGCATGGAGGATGTATGTGTCACTTTTTCCCTCTTTCCTCTTTTACTTCAAAACAACTCAGAAATTGACTTTCTGCCCAGCTAGCTGCTCCTGAGAAGTTTTTCAGTCCCTCTCGAGTATGGTTGGTGTGGGAAGGTCCGTCCAGTGTCCCCCGAGCAAAGAGATTTCAGGCGTCTGTAGCAGGAGGGACCCTGCCTGAGAAGCAGCAGGGCTTGGTTCCAGATCTGACTCCACCAAACACCCAGCTCGTTACGTGATGCTGGGAAGTGCACCCAACCCGTCGGGGCCTCATTTTCCCCACGAATAAAATAGACACAGTCATATCAGAGGTTTTCTGTAAAACACTGTCACATTCATGAAGCTTAGTTCATAAATTAAGGCAAACAAACCAACCTCTGGCTACTTTAAAATTAAGAGCATCTGTTCATCTGAGAGCACCACGGAGTGCAGGAGCCACAGACGGGCAGGAGGTATCATACACAGCGAACAGAGAATTTGTGTCCCAGCTTTTAAAAACCCAACTCTTATGAGTCAATCAGAAAAAGGTGACCTAACAGAGAAAAGGATCGAATGCGTGAACAGGTGTTTCACAGAAGAAGAAATGCAAATGGCAAGTAAGCCTGTGAAAAGGTGCTCACTGTCCTTAGTGATTCAGGATAATACGAGATAAAACCATAATTCTATACCATTCCGCACTACCAGGTCAGTAAACAACGGAAAAGTCCGACAACACCAATGCCAAGTGTTGAGGAGCAACACGAACTTTCATCCTGGAAACGGCCATGCCGACCTTGGAGCACGACTGCGCTTTACCGCGTCAAGGCGAGGTGCGCGTGTCCTGCGACCCAGCAGTGACACGCAGGGTGCGTCTGTTCTGGAGAGGCTCTATTTGAATTTAAATTAATGGAAAGCCCAGCGCTTCGGCCACCCCAGCCACATTCAGGTGCTCAGCGGTCGCGTGGCTGGCGGTGGCTCCCGCATTGCGTTAGCGGGCAGCCCCCGTTCCCATCAGCACAGAACCCTGGTGCGCCGTACCTGGAAGTTCAGAGCGACGCTGCTCACAGAGTGAGCGAACGGGAGACGGCTCTGATGCTCTGGGGAAAGGGAAGGGGCTAATAATTAGGATGCATTCATACAAAGGATTCTATAGAGCAGTAAAAGACGGTGGCCTGTGGTCAGGCATGTGACATGGATGGCACCTGAAGACACACTGGGTATAAGAACGAGGCACAGCAAGAACCTCCAGGATGGCGGTTCTCTTTATATAAACACAAAAACCAGGCAAAGCACAACACTAGATTTTTAGGGGACCCCCTTCATACGGGGGTCAAATCATAAAATAAGAAAAAAACAAAAGCATGATGAGCGCAAAATCCCAGCCAGGGACCAGGGAGAGGCACCAGGGCATTGCCATGGCTTACGTTGGCTGAGTGCGCTGATTTTTCCCTGCTACTTTTCCGTATAATGCTACTTTTTCCATGTTATAATTCTATAATAACAGTAATCAAATTACTCTCTTTGTCTAGGTGATGTATTTCATCCTCCTTTGCGTATGATGTGTTTCATAATTATAATTAAAAATATATACTCTATATATTATATACTTACAGAGAAATTGATTTATTATGTATACTTTCTATAGAAATATATATACATATAATAGTATAAATGAAGGAACCTAAACCCAAGTGGTAATTCACTCACGGTGAACAAGTATCAACAGGAACTTAACCAAAAGAAAATTCTATAGCTAGAGTTAGATACAAGAATTTGGTAAAAAAAAAAAAAATTCTCCCAGGACACGGGACTCAGCCTGCCAGGTGGCTCAGCTGAGGACCAGTCTGGAGGTGGGGACAGGTAGCTGGCCCTGAGGTCCTGGTGATCTCCTGGAAGCCCCAAAGGGAAAAGAAGTAGTAGTGACAGGAGACCCTTGTGTAGGTGCTTGGTCCTGTCATCCGGGGAAACTCCCTTCTCCAACCCACATAAACGCTATGAGCTGCAGTTACATCCTTTCTCTAACACATCTTTTGTGTTATTACAAACGATCATGAAAATGTTCCATAGTCTTTAAAATGGAGAAACAGTTTTTCTTTTGAGAGTACGCTATACCACCAAATTATGCTAAAAAAGTTAAGCAATTATGGCAAAGTGCCACTTTAAGGAAAAGATCCTGATATTAAAGAGAAATCTCACCTTTCTTCTACTCCAGTTTATCAGAATTTCGTGAAAACACAGCAGCTCTTTGAAGCTGCCAGCTTCCCCGAACAAAGGAAAGCTTTAGATGCGAAGTACGGTGCTGGGAAGGGAGCTGCGAGCTCTGACAGAGTAATCCCGGGTCCCTTCGCACATCAGCCTTGTCGGGGTGGGGGAGGGGCGTGGGCACTGCCTAGAAATCTGGCCACGTGCTCTAGAGGTAACACAATTAGAACCCTGTGTAACTCTGGGTTATATTTATCAAAAGCAGCAAGTGTTAGAAAGGAAAAAAAAA